AGAATCACATTCCTACGATTTCTTAAGTTTAGCTGTATTATATATATATAATCATATTCATATGAATTTTCATATCTCATATATAAAAATTCTCTTTCCAATCAGATGCATATACTTAATTATGTTCATATACAAACCCATAAACAACTGCAATAGTGTGTCATACATATATATGTATGTACATACACACGTACACATATAAACATACTCACATACTCATTTTAATAAAATGGCTTTCCCATTCCAACACTTAATTCTCACTTCCCCACGCTTAGCCACGGCGTATGAGTGCTCTTAATGAGTTTGAAAAATTATGAAATTACGTATACGCACCGTCGAGCCGCGCCGAACATAACTACATAAATTCATTTGCKTTTATGAGGCACAAATGCATGAGTATGTGTGTTTAGTGTGTGTGAGGGCGGCGCCTTGGCATGACCGCTATTTGTTTTATCGCACTTTCGCTAAAATGAACCACAACAACAGCAAAAAAAAACTTCATAGCAAAAACAACACTATGCAGGTGCCATACTATATATAATATTAAAAATACACCCCATCACGCACCGTTGCTTGCGTTGCGCACATTTTGTTAATTTGATAAAAACCAACAACACCTGAGATTAGAAAAACGCTATCCAAATCAGCCAAGCAACTAACTTAAAAAATAATGTTTTAATAACAACAAAAGCAGTTTTTCCACTTTTTCACTCGCTAATTGAAATAAAAGCCCGACAATGGCGTCGCCAGCGTGTGCCAGAAAATATTATTATTTTTTTTTTTTCAATTTTTGGGTTGTTTGTGGTAAAATGTTTTTTTTTTTAATTTTTTTTTGTAATTTTTGGGTTGTTTGTGGTAAAATGTATATTTTGTGTTTGGGCCGTATCAAAATTCGTTTGTGGTTGCTGAACCCATTGTGATTTCAAGTGTAAATCATTTAAATTTTATGAATAATGGGTGTTCAAGGAGTGGGAAAGCGTGGCTCAGCTCGTACTTTTCATTAGTAAAATGGGAATTTTGCATATTTTTTGTTGATTGTACGCTTGTAATGGACTCCACTTGCTCGAAACTTGTAACTTGAGYAGTAAATTCTTCATCGGAAAACAAGGTGAAGCCATTGCTGCGTAGCAAAAAGGGAAATAATCCAAATTCTGCGGTTAACTGGATTTCTGGTATAAGCAGTATCTAGATCTTGAAATTATAACTATATAGTAAATACTATATAATATTTTTGAGTATGAAATTATATATATGAGTAGACTAAAAAATTGAGACTTTTTTGCTTTTTGAAAAATATATGATGACTCAATGCCTCTGGCAAAAATTTAATTYAAAATCATCTAAATCATCTCTTATTCTACCATAACCATTCGAATTATTAATTAAATAATTTTCTAAAACTTTTGAACTCTCCGACTACAAGCTCACTTCCTGTAGGTACCTGCAATCGCTCATGCATGAACCGTTAGAATTTTTCATATTTCTACAACTGCTTACCGCTTAGAGTGAATTATTTCATAGAGTTGCGACATTTTCTCTGCGTTTTTGGTTGAATTACTGATAGTGATCATAATTTATGACAAACAACCCTCGAAATGTGAGCCGATAAGAAGTGTGCAAATATGAAAGTAGTGGAAAAATGGTACGAACGTATAACGCGTAATAAATGCGCTTTGTAAATAGCAATAACAAAAAATATTAATTACAACAACAACAAACATTTAGTTGACTATATGTACATTAGCCTGGGTAAAAAAAAAACAAAAATTATTTTTCGCTTGGTTCTCTGAAAAATAGGTYATTACTCAGTCACTTATGAAAATCACTCCAAGTATAAACTTTTATCTGTTATATTTAATAATAATTTAATTAGGGCGGTTAAAAGAGATCAAATATGTTCTTCGCTTGATTCTCTGAAAAATTCTAAGTATGACCTCTTAATTCTGATGGGAAGGTGCTCCGCCCTACTCTTTTTTATTCTTTTTGTATTATCAATTAGAAAAATTCATGTATCGCTGGCAACTGCTTAAAAAATACCTCGTTTCATYCATTTTTTAGGCAATGGAATGCCCTACAAAATAGTTTCATAAGATTTTTTCGAAAACCTAACCACTTTAAAGATGTTAASGGYTGTAGTTTGATTATTTTAAAACAAATATTTTTTCTTATGGATTTATTTTATACCTCAAAAAATTTAAATTGCAAAATTTACTTTTTATTGGAAATACTTACTTTATAGAGCACCAAGCGAAGCAAAAAAAGAAATTATTTTTTTGTTTTTTACCCACCCTAATGTATATTCATTTGTTAGTACTCAGTATAACATTAGTTAGAAAATTTATTTTTCAGAGCACCAATCGAAGCAAAAAAAAAATTTTTTTTTTACCCACCCTAATGTATTATATATTATATTTATTTGTAAACCCGCAGTATAGCACTAGTACTAAAAACACGAAGAAAAATGCCAAGCGTCAACATTGAATATGCTTCAAAGCAAAGACACCAAAAACAAAGTATTGTACAAATATATTACAACAACAAGCATGCTAAAAAAATTTGCTCTGGAATTTACGATATAACAATCTGCTAGCTGATAGCTGCTAAACTTGTGGGTCTGCTCCAAATTTTCGCTTAATAAAACTAGTTTATTTATTTGCCGAAATTTTATTYTTCTTTTTTATTTTTTCTAGGTTAGATTTTTTTATTTTTATTTGCTACGCTTAGTTTACATTCATTATGCTGTGCACACCCTTCTCCCTCGCTCTTATTTAGCCTTTCCTCCTTGCAACATGGCAGGTTCTTGCTCGGCTTTCGTTTCTTTTCATTTGTCTTGCTTACCCAACCCTCACCTGAATTCTCGCTCTTCCTTTGCGACTTCATTTTTATTTGTTTTATCGCTCGATCGGCATATAAATCAATTTCTATGACAAATTTATTATAAACGTCGCAAGTAAATGTATTTTATAACTCCCACACCCACTACCACCACCTAGAGAAATATGTAGTTGTTATCGCTCTTACAAGTTTGGCCGAAAAAGTTTGACGCCAACGATTTCGTTGTTTCCTTGTTTTATGTTTTTTTTCAACGAAAAAGAATTTGTCGCAGCAATTTAATCAAATGTCGTAATGCAATGAAAATATTTATGGTATCGTGTTAAATACAAAAACAATAAAAAATTATGTGCCAAGCTCACCCTYCAACCCCGCTGTAGACTATAACAGAAATGAATTATTAAATAAAAAATATTTGTTTCAATTGACACTATAAAAATTTCGCCTTTTATAGCAAACATAAATTTCCTTTTTTTAACTCAAAATTTCAGATATATATTTATATACATCTTTGCATACATACTTCACTCTTGTCCGTGCGCTTTTATTCTACTAAATTCTGAATAATACCATTTTTTTGATTGTTYTTCTTTGTTGTTGCCATAGTAGAGTTGTTATACTGTCGCCTAGAGTTCCATATGCTCATATCTTGGCGGCTCATTCTTATTGTTGTTCGATAATAAATAAAGTAATTAATATCTAAAAGGTAATAATATTTTTTTCCTTGACTAATATTCGCTTTTATTGTTGGAAATTGTTTTCGAATATCAGTATTGTCTTAATCCATAGGGGTCCTCAAAAAGTTAGAGAAAAMATATTTTAATTCAACAAAAGTCTGCATTAAAAATATAATAGGTTGTCAAAAAAGTCTTGCGGTATTTTTTATTTGTTTTTATTTTTTATATTTTTAACGGCTTGATGACTCATGCCCAGCTCTTGACCGATGCTACGGTTGCTACTATGCCGGTCTCTTTCGACCAATTCAGCGCTTTTATCGCAATTTTCGA